GGGGAGATGTACCCTCAGGTGTCCGGCAAGACACCAAATTAGGACCGTGGCTGTTCCTGCTTATGATTAATGACCTAAAGATCCAAGATGTTAGTAGCTGGAAATTCGTTGACGACACAACCATATCAAAAGTTGTCCAGCTTGAAACAAATAGTCAAGTCCAAGATGCAGTTACTTCAGTTGAAAAGTGGTCCACTGAAAATAAACTCCAGTTAAATGCTAAGAAATGTTCATCCATTTTAATGTTTCTTCTTTCAAATTGTGGTAGTTTTCGCAACACATAGTCCGTTGCTATGGCAACATACACGCACGAAATGCACTCTTTAATACATTATTGCTTTGTGCAATAGGAGAATAAGTACCGGGACCCCCAATTTTTCGTGCACTATTTTAGTTAGAACACAGACTAACCATAAGCAAAATATGAAGAAAATTCTGTAATGATCGACCAAAACGACATTTTGGCGTTTTTCAAATAAGCCATTATTTAAAAAACGCCAAAATGTCGTTTTGGTCGATCAAATTTTTTGGCAATTATTACAATGTTTTTTTTATTTTAGAAACATTAAAAGACTTTTGCCCTACACTACAGTGTGCAAAATGTCAACATAGGTCACTGGAAAAAATAATAAGATACAGCTAGCGCACTGTTCTGAACAATTAGCATTTCTAATGACGTCAGCAATTGACATGGAACGTGCTTATACAACACCTACAATGGCGCGAGATGGCGTGGGCAAGCGGCCAAGTCAGGTCATATATGTACAGTACGTATTCTCGTTAATATTCCTGCGGACACGAATTGTCACGGAAGTTGTCCCAAAAAGGAAAACGTTTTCAGTTCACGATTCTTGCCTACATAATAATAATAATAATAATTTATTATTTATATTGCACATAATATGTATGTAATTAAATGCGCAAAATTTTTGGGGGATTAATATATCGAGCAACCATAACATACATGAAATAATTTCAAAATCGCATTTTCGCATTTTAGCGAGTGAAAGCGTTCATGGAATCAGGCTTTGCCGTGTGCTACCTACAAGGCAGTCGAACGAAAGTCACTGAATTAGGCATTGTCAGTATAATGTGCATTCACGTACCTGACGAAAAGCATCTTGGATTAAAAAATTCTCCTTGAAACACTTTCCCGAGTTTGTTGTATGCAATGAAAAACTACCTTGACAACTACCGCTAACATACGAACAGCCTCATTAACATCATTACATAAAATCGATGATTGGCTGCCCTTTCTCGATATGTTGTTGTCACTTAAGGAAATATATGCTGACTAAATTACGTCTTGAAATACGCATGTGTATATCTATCTGTTAATTAATTGTTCTGCCAATAAAATATCAGTGAAACCTGCACGTCAACTTTTATGCCAGCTGTTATCCGCTTGACTTTATTACCTATTATCGCACTTTTGGAGAACATGAATCATAAAAAATTATGCCAGATTTGCGCACATACACATATTTACTGATAATAAAACCTACACCAAAATAGGTTATAGTCAATATATTTTTAAAGTTATAAATAATACAAATAATTAGAAATTTGCATAGTTTGATTCGTTGCTATAGTTGGTTGCGCCAATTGTCTTTCCACCAGAAAAAGCAAAATTTCAAAGATTTTTGGATTGGCTTATCGCGAAATATATTCCGTTTTTAGATATTTACTAGAAATACATGCATGCAGCAACCCCTCGCCCATACTTTCCAAACATTGTTTCAATATGAAGTGATTTCAAATTGCGGCACCACTGAACGCAGGCTCGCATTTCCGCGTCATGTTAAGGTACGTTCACACACAACGATTCATCGGTCCGATTCAGATACATGACAAATCTATTAAATGCTTGTGTGATGTTACACGAGTGTATATCGAGACCGGGCAGGCTTGAAAAATATGCCTGGCCACGGTGGGAATCGAACCTATGACCTTTGGAATACTAGCCCAATGCTCTGCCAACTGGGCTACGCGGTCATCGGTTCGAGCATGCGATATTTCGGAACTGAGTCTAGTTCCTTCGATATCAGTGTAATCTAATAATCATGATATTTGCTGTGTCGATATACACTCAGAGTAACATCACACAAGCATCTTATTCACCTGAGTACATGCATTACACCAACACAGCAAATGTCATGATTATTAGATTACACTGATATCGAAGGAACTATAGACTCAGTTCCGAAATATCGCATGTTCGAACCGACCTGACCGCGTAGCTCAATTGGCATAACATTGGGCTAGTATTCCAAAGGTCGTAGGTTCGATTCCCACCGTGGGCAGGCATATTTTGAAGCCTGCACGGTGTCGATATACACTCAGAATAACATCACACAAGCATCCTATTCACCTGAGTACATTACACCAACACAGCAAATATCAAAACTATTAAATATTGACACTTTTCTCCAGTAAGCTGGACAAATTTTTATTCAGAATCAATAAGAAAATTTTCTTTCAACGCCTCATTTTTCCTGAGGGTATTAAAAATCTGGCTCGTTACAATTTTCAAAAACTTCAGGTGTATAACTGTTTGACTGTTTAAAAGTCCTATTTTTAGGTTTTATGAAGCAGGTAACAAGATGTTCATCCATTTTAATATTTCTTCTTTCAAATTATGCCAGTTTTCGAAACACATAGTCCGTTGCTATGGCAACATGCACGCACGAAATGCACTCTTTAATAGGTTATTGCTTTGTGCAATAGGAGAATAAGTACGGGAACCCCCAATTTTTCGTGTACTATCTTAGTTAGAACATAGACTATAACAATAAGCAAAATATGAAGAAAATTCTGTAATCTTGAAAAACGCCAAAATGTCGTTTTCTTCGATAAAATTTTTTGGCATTACAGATTTTTTTGTTTTTGGAATGTTGATAGACTTTTAATTTACACTGCAGTCAGTGTGAAAAATAATGAGATATATCTAGCGCACTGTTCCTAACAATTGACATATCTAATGAAGTCACCTATTAACACGGAACGTGCTTATACAACACGTACAATGGCGCGAGATGCTAACAATAAACAAAATATTAAAAAATTCTGTAACATCCTTTTTGAAAAACGCCAAAATCTCGTTTTCTTTGATAAACTTTTTTGGCATATATTGCAAATTTTGTTCTATTTTGGGAATATTAAAAGATTTTTGCCCTACAATACAGTGTGCAAAATATCAACATTGGTCACCGGACAAAATAATAAGATATAGCTAGCATGCTGTTTTGAAAAATTGGCATTTCTAATGACGTGAGCAATTAACATTGAACTTGCTTATACAACATGTACAATCACGGCGCGAGATGGCGTGGGCAAGGCAGCAAGCTAGGTCATGTATGTACAGTAAGTATTTTCGGTAATATTCCCGAGGACACGAATTGTCACGCGAGTATGTTCATAAAGGAAAACGTTTTGTTTCACGATTCTTGCCTACATAATAATAATAATTTATTATTTATATTGCGCAAATATCCATATGTATATAATCAAATGCGCAAAATTTTACATGAAATAATTTCAAAGCCACATTTTCGCATTTTAGCGAGTGAAAGCGTTCATGAAACCAGACTTTGCCGTCTGTTACCTACAAGGCAGTCGAACGAAAATCACTGAATTAAGCATTGGCGGTATAATGCGTATTCAAGTACCTGACGAAAAGCATCTTGGATTAAAAACTTCTTCTTCAAACACTTCAAAATCTACATTGCGTTCCCGAGTGTGTTGTATGCAATGAAAAACTGCCTTGACAACAACTGCTAACATACGAACAGCCTCATTAACATCATTACGTAAAATCGATGATTGCTATTGGCTGCCCTTTCTCGATTCATCTGCAACCGTCAAGGGAATATATGCAGAATAAATTACATCTTGAAATACGCATATGTATTATTCGCCTGCTAATTCATTGTTCTGTCAATGAAATGTCAGTTAAACCTTCACGTCAACTTTTATAGCAGCTGTTATCCGCTTGACTTTATTATCTGTGTTCGCACTTTTAGAAAACATGAATGATGAAAAATTATGCCAGTTTTACGCTCATACACATATTTACTAATAATAAAACCTACACCAAAATTGGTTAAAGGCAATATATTGTTAAAGTTATAAATAATACAAATAATGAGAAATATGCATGGTTTGATTCGTTGCTAAATTTGGTTGCGCCAATTTCAAAGATTTGGCAGAGAGTCAACTTCTTGTGCATTTTTCACCTTATGCAACAAGTATGGAGGTGGCTGTACGAGAAGAAAAACGGCATTCATGCAGATCATCGACCAGAAATTTTATCACTGATGAAGTCCATCATTTACGCAGAGATGGAAGACATTTCAGAAAGGACTGATGATATGTTACAACACAGTCTTTTTAGAAGTACCCCAATGCTGCCAAGTACTTTGAAGATGTGCTTGACCTTAAAGAATCGTGGGCTTTAGCCTATCGAAGTGGCCTTCCTGTCAGAGGTAACAACACCAACACTGATGTCGAAGCCCAGTTTCTTGTCATCAAAGTGAAATTCTGAATCGAGTAAAGGAATTCAATGTTGTTGGACTTGTAGACAAATTAACAATTAATTTGGAGGAACATTACATGACAAAGCTGCTTTCCATTGCTGATGGTTCTTTGGATGGTGTACACAGTGCAAGATCTAAGGGACTGATAAAGAATTTACCGCCATCAGATGTCCTTGATGAAATATCAAAGAATGTGGTATCTGTTGGGAATGAAATTGTTAAAGTACCAAGTGTCCAATAGGAAGAAATGGTGCACCATGCAAACACCAATACTTACTTTGACTGAAGCACTGGTCTACTGTGTCAAGAAACTTTCTTCCCATATTTAATGGAAAAGAACGACAAGACTTTGCAAAGCTTGCTGTTGGTGTGTCTGGACCAGATTGCCTATGTGAAGGTATTAGAGACAGAATAACGACAGTGCAACCCGTAGCTGATCAGAGCAATACAGAACCTGCAAACACCATGTGGGATGAAAAAATCACCAATACTATCCAAGAAACTGAATTTGTGCAAGCTGAATCTACTGATGCAGAATCATGCGAAGCTGAGAAATATGAAGCTGGAAAATGTGAAGCTGAGGAAGCCTTAAATGAAGCATTCAGTATCATCAAAGAAAAACTAGAAACTGGTCCAAACTTTGTTTCTGCCGTACTTAAATTTTCAGAACGCGTACGAGGCATGTCTGACCAACGTCTGGCCAGTGCTCTTCATTGCTTCAATAGTGATGGCACCAGGTCTGAACTGAAAGTTTAAAAGCAACCAGACAGGCTAAACAAAACAAAATCAAAGTCCAGCCTGATGCAGTTAGAAGAAGGAAGATGAAAAATGGATCTAGGCAAAGGCAAAGTAAAGGCAATTCCCAAGAATTTAAAAGTGTAATTCCAAGCCAAACTCAAGTGAGAGGTAAAAGGTTGCACAGTTTTGCTCATAATGTAGCTAACAATGAACCTGTTGCAAAGAAATCAGGTCGTTCTATGATGTCAGTCACAAAAACTGGACGTAAATAGTTACAATAAACAATGTATCCGTGATGCCCTTGCAGTTTGTACAGCTGTTGACAGATGGATTAATAAAAGTGCTCAATACACCCATGGTATTTAGCACCATCATTAATCAAGGTGTCATCAGAGGCCATGGAAGCACCTCAAAAGTGGGGGTGGGCAATTGAATCAGAAAATGTGTCCTTAGAAGGTCTAGAGGTTTGGACGCATGCAATATACAGTCTCTGATGTTATATGTATTCTCTAATAGCTCTGACCTAAAGTGAACATGAACACATTAACCACAAATTGATTAATTAATGCAATTGCATTCAAAATTGCCAAAAAATCTAAGTTTTCGAACGTTGTTGACAAGAAAGTCTTTAGCAAAGAGCAATCAAACTTAAGTCCAGTTCATCAGTTCTGCCCTTGTTTACCAGCATGACAATAAGACAAGGCATTTGTAGACTTCTTAGCTTACTGTCGATGCAATGGAAGTGTTGATAAAATATTGCATGAATTTATTTCCTCAAGTTGATCATTTTCATACGAATTCAAATTTCTTTTTACTTCTATTTTCTATCAAATGAATTGATCAACTTGAGGAAAGGAATTGGCACAATATTTTATCAACACTTCCATTGTGTCGACAGTAAGGGGGAATTTATAATTCTACCTTAATTGCTGGAAAAAGAGCACTTTTATTCCACAAAAAAGGGTACATTTTCTCCTTGCACAAAAAGTGGGGGGGGGGGCACCTGCCCCAAATGTCCCCTGCTTCCGAGACCTCTGGGTGTCATCACATAGCATAAGATTACATAGATAATATGGTGAGATCAAAACAGTTCATAAATTTTAATGTTCACTTTACCACATAACTGTAATATACAAAATATTAAATATATGTTTCCTATGTAAGAGTACATGACATTGTCAGGTAATGTTTATTATTGATGATGGTATTCCTTCATGTGCCTTGTGAGCTTTGTTTTGATCGTAAAAAGTTGGTTACATTTGTTACATTGGAATGACTTTACTGAGCTATGTGTTGCTTTGTGTCTGTCCATGGCTTGTTTTGTACTAAAATATTTCCAAAACTTTGGCATTTATGTAATTCTTTATGAATATTTTCATGTTGCTTTAACTTAAGTTTGGTACTGAATACTGCACTACACGACAGTCATTTTGATTCGCCACAATTTCTTTGATGGTACCTTTTGTCTGCAAGCCGACTGAAAACTGTGTGGCACTTGTCACATTTTGATGTACTTGTGGTCAATAAACCACAGTCGACAGCATCTTCACGTTGCCTATGTGCTAATTCATTCCAGCCCTTCGAATTTAAAAAATGCAAATTAATAATTAATTGTTTACCATTAATGTATAAAAAACACCTGAAGATAACCATAAAATATATGACAGTGATAACCAGAAGACCTTTTGCAGCTTAAATTACTGCGATTTCCAGTTGAGCATGGAATCGCGAAAGTTTGTTCGTTAAGTTTTGTCGTATGAAAACAATGTTTGTGACGTTATTCTATAATGTTGCTAGGCGAGCTGACAATGTTGTCAAGTAAAATACTGTCAAGTTCACGACTATAAATAGAAACTTATTTTGTTTTGTAATGATTGACAGTTTTTAACCGGTTTTACTTGACAACACTGTGTGCTTGCCTGGTAACATTATAGAATGATGTCACAAACATTGTTTTCAAACGACAAAAGTTAACGAACAAACTCTACAAACAAACTTTTGCAATTCCACGCTCAACTGGAAATCGCAGTAATGGGTTAACAAAACTATTCGCCAATTTCTCTAGTTAATTAACCCATTAAGCGGCAGTGCGCCTCGGTGTGCCCTGACTTTCTACTTTATTCTCTGTCTAATATAATGTCAGGCAATTTTACTCTACTTGCAGCTTAATGGGTTAAACACAGTTCATTAATGAGCCATTTTAAACTGTAAAGTAAACAATGCTCACCTGTTTTGTGTGCCTATCGATTATTCGCCAAGCTGCTGCTACTATCTTAGTATTTGTAGCAAGGGTTGTTTCTCCAGTCTCATGAATTCAAACCGTGGCTGCCACACAAGGTGTATTAATTAAAATAACAAAGAAAAATCAAAGTCAAACTTACAGAATTCTCCTTCATAAACAGATTGTAGCCTGTCGTGTATCTTTTCCCTCTTTTCTTGGGGTTTCCTTCGTCTGTTGGTTCTTCCAATCCTTGATCTTTCGTGGAGACTTGTATCTCAATCTCAAAAACTCGCTCAGCTGACATATTTTAAAGTCTTAGTATTAATTTAACGCGAAAGCTTGCAAAAACAACGCTTGATATAAAAGTTCTCAAAATTTGAAATCAACAAGAAATTAAACCGCACGTTGCCATGGGACTGACATGTTCTAACATGACATACCTTTTTTGCCGCCCGCGCGTAGGCCAACGTAATGTGAGCGGGCTGGGATCAAGCAGGGATGCTTTCGATTGCTTGGGATGCTTTCGATTGCTTACGGAAAAAAAATTTGCTCCGGCGCCCCTGAATTGTGGTAATGAAAATAGCTACAATACATACAGTGTTTCTTCCTGGCAATAGGAATGTGTGAAACCAGTCATCTGATGGACTTTCTTGGCCTTCAGTTTTCTGGAACAACGGTTGAGCTGTTTTTGTCTTTCAAAATTATGTAAAAATTTGTTCATTGTTTCGATTATACATGCCATATTATAAATATTCTACTGACTTTGTGTCTAATGTAAAGCAAGACAAAACAATATTTATATTATTATTATTATTATTATTATTATTATTATAATTGGCATTGAGCAAAGCATTGACGTGCTATGTACGTGTCTGCAGTTTTATCAAAATTTTATTACTTCAATCACAAATTATTTCACAAATAACCATCAGTAAATATTGTAATCATGATTCGCTCAAGTTCTATATTAATGTTGTTGGCCTGCGTCGTTTGTTCGTTCTGTGAGAAAGATTTCGTTACACTCAGTCGACATTCATGGCGATGTAAACAGCGAGTTAATTACGCAGAACAAGACCACTCTGCCGAAAATACGGCAAGGCAAACGCCCGTCATGAATTCTCCTAATGTCGTCGTGTCAAGTCGAACCGTAATCAAGTGTTGCTGTGGTAAAGTATGTAAAGGAGCGCGAGGATTAAAGATGCATCAACGCAGTTGTAGAGTTATTTAAGTTCTAGACAGTGAATTCCGTACAGACCTAGAGGAACAAAACAATTCTGACACGGAAAATATTCCTGAAATGGACCAATCGACAATCAACGAAACTCCTACGGTTGAAAAGGAAGATATTGCGAATTTAAGAAAAGGTATTAAACTCCCTAAAAGCAATTCCGAATGGTCAACGGCCAGCGAACATTTCAAATTCGCTCTTCAGTCCAATGATCCAATCACATCACAAGATTTAAATTCCAACATAAAACTATTAAATGACATCATATACGATTACTTCGCCCAAAACTTTGGTTATAGCGAATCAGTGCCTGACAATTCGCTACTAAATAAATATAAGGACTATGAAATCAAGGATTTGAAAAAAGCTCTGAAAACCCTTAAATCAACGAATGGTGAACTAGACGAAATTAAATATGTGTCGCATATATTGCGTGATAAGCTTCGCTCAAACAATAACAATGAGTCAAGTCTAGACAGCAGCTAGTCACTTAACCATGACAAATATATCGGGAAAAATTTCTGGGGTTATGTCAAGAATATTCTAAGGAAGAAAGACACTATATTATCATCTTTCAACATGACGCAATGCCTATCCCACTTCACTAAGACCCTTGCTGCAATTCATCCAAACAAATTGTTCAATATTCCTAGCTGGATTCCTGCGTTGTCTGACCCCGAAGTTCAATTTGACCTTGACCCCCCATCGTATCAACAAGTCACGAATATAATACGCAGAACGAAGGAATCTGGCTCTCCATGTCCCCTTAATCAGCTATCTATTATATGTTTTAAACGCTGTCCTTTCCTAAGAAGATATTTAACTGACAGTATTCGTGCCGTGTGGCTATCTGGAACCATCCCTTCCGAATGGAAGAAAGCTTGCACAATACTAATCCATAAAAAAGGCGATACTAATACCCCGTCCAATTTCCGACCCATCACACTGGAGACCACACATTAAAAGTATTCACTTCCTGCCTACGTAACGCTATGTATTCATTCCTAACCGTTAATAACTTTATTGAACATAATATTCAAAAAGGATTCACACCTAACATGTCTGGCACCTTAGAACATACT